TCTACTGCATTATACTTACTTGATGTCACCTAGTTTTTCCCTTAGGCGAATTACATGGACAAACATGATTCAGGTGCAGAATAAAAATTGTGATGTGGTTCCTATTTATTTTGATTTGTCCTCAGCCATAAACCCTTCTCTGGGCAGGTGTTTGTCTCATATCATGGTTTAGCCAGCATTCTACTTCAAGAGCAGGGAAAAATGATGTTTGTACCTGGGACTTCTAAACGGTTATCTCTGGGAATTGGTCTTCTTTCTTCCACTTTTGGACGTTGAGGTTCTGAGACTTCATCCTTGCAACAACTCCAGGACATATCCGTATGTTCCCAGTCCTTCAGAGATAAGGCCTTAATTTCTGAGCAGAGAAGAACACCTTTGGTCTTGTGATAAGGAGCTATCGTCTAGGGAAAATCACTAGCTCCCAACCCCAGGGGAGGGTTCCTGAAGACTACTGCTTCACACTTCTTCTGGATAGCCTTGACATTCTTACTTTGAATGCGGATATGCAGCTTTTCCAGCCTAGAATAGAGTATAGAAAAGTGAGACATACAGCAGGTAGTGACTCCCAACTCTAGAGAATGAATTCCCCTTAAGTCTCACATTGCATTGAGAAAAGCTGGAAAACTCAATTCTTTCTCCTGAACCAAAGAATATATTGCTTTCTTAAAGATCAATGTCTCCTGCCTATATAGTGGCCCCCTAAACAGCTGCTTTATTTAGACCAGTGTTTCTCAATTTTGGTAGCTTTAAGTTCTATGGACTTAACTTCCAGTCACATGAAGTTCACATATCTTAAAGGCACTGAAGTTAAGACACATTGATTTAGGCTCTGTTCATCCAACATACCGAGGCCCAAATTAGGCAACCATATTTTAGCCTAAAATGTTATGTAATCACTCAGCCTGCATGATTTTTTTAGAATTCAAGGTGTCATGCAAACTCCAAAAAGGAGGTTTGTTTAACACACACTGTGAAAATATTACATAAACACAGCCAAAATCTTTCTCAGCTGCAGTTAGGTGCTATACTTAAGGAAAGTATTAGTTTGAGAAAACTGTGAAGGTTGGTGAAACTTAAAAAAATGTGGGGAGTGGAGAGAAGTGATACAGTATTCCATTTTATCCTCACAACTTCTTCTGAGGTAGGCTGAGATCAGTGGTGGGATTCAATTTTTTTTAACTTTTGGTTCTGTGGGCTTGGCTTGGTGGCCTTTGCTTAGTGAGCATAGTAGGGGAAGGATACTGTAAAATCTCCATTCCCACCCCACTCCAGGGGAAAGTTACTACAAAATCTCCATTTCCTCCTGATCAGCTGGGACACTGGAGGCAGAGAAAAGATGAGGGCACGGCCAGTCAGAGGTGGTCTTTACCAGTTCTCTGAACTACTCAAAATATCCAGTATAGGTTCTTCAGAACTGGTCAGAACCTGCTGAATACCACCTCTGGCTCAGATGGAACAAGCTAATGAACATTATTAAGTGAGAAATACTAATCAGAATCTCCCCTCTCCAAGTTGAAAATTTTAAATATTACTGGAGTAGTTGAGCTCACAGAGCAGAGAGTATCATAGATAGTAAATAAAGAACTAGAATTCAAAAGCTTATATAAAATCCAGCTTACACCCCCAAATTTGTAATGTTGCTTTCTTCCTTCCTGTGCTCTCATTTGCTTTCTGCCTTTCTTCCAGAAAGAGTCTGCTGATATCTTCACCTGGATAAGGTGAGAATAGGTGAAATAAAACTGTAATAAAACAGGCTTTAAGATTGAGAAGCAGGTAAAATACAAATATGAAAGGTATGTTATTTCAGATTATTTGTTATTGTTGTTAGTTGCGAAGCTGTGTCTGACCCATCGCGACCCCATGGACAACATTCCTCCAGGCCTTCCTGTCCTCTACCATCCTCTGGATCCATTTAAGCTTATGCCTATTGCTTCAGTGACTCCATCCAGCCACCTCATTCTCTGTCGTCTCCTTCTTCTTTTGCCCTCAATCTTTCCCAGCATTAGGCTCTTCTCCAGTGAGTCATATTATTTAAAAACATTGAATAAAGTTACAAAGATATGTCAAGACAGGAGAAATTACAACTGCCTTTGTTAGCAAGAATTTCTGTGATTAAAATGAATGTTTTGCCTAGAATATTATTTTGGTTTTAGATAACACTTGTTTTGTCTGAAATGATGCATATTTAAGCAATGGCAGAAAGATATACTGTTTCCAAATTCATATGGTGGAGGAGAAAACACCTCCTTAAATATAAGATATGACAAGATATGAAGGAGAAAACATTGGGTTTACCTGATATGAAATTGTATACTGCGGCTTGTTGCTTGGTTTAGAATGAGTTTTGCTGAGATATAGACTTGTGGAATTAGAAGAACTTCAGATGTTGGTGGGAGTAATTGTTGGTACAATTAAGTTATGTTAGACACACCATATTGAGAATATGGAATAGATACAAAGTTTCCATGTTTTTTCCAAGCAATTATCTAAGTCTGATGCTTAGTCAAGAATAAAAAATAGTTTGACAGTGATTAATACGTCTATGTAAGTTATGCTTCTTAGTCTTGCATTATTATGAAATCACAGACAAAAATTACTTCCAAAACAATTAGTACATAATGAAGTTAGGCTCCAAGAATCACCACAATCCACCATCACTGGAAATCGGTAACACAGAAGACAAAAATATGAAATACTTACTTCCTGAAAGGCGCTTTGGCTATCTGACTTATGAACCAGCAGGGTAAAATATCACAATGGAGGCCATGTCACTGTTACCTTAGCAACCTGTCTCAGCCATAAGCATTTTTATGGCTTTTATTTCTTTCAGCCTGTTTTATTTACCCACTTGCTTCTGAGCTGGGCTAGAATTGCCTGGCTGCTCAGTGCTCAGATGATAGAACTGGAAGGTCATGCCATACAATGGAAAGGGTTCCATAAAGTAATATATGACAGTGCCCATACACTAAGAACAACCACGGTACTGCTTTGTATCATCAAGCTCGTTTTATATGTGATAACAACACATATCTTTCTAGGGAAGGTTATATGTATGCATAAAAGTTGGGAAATTTTACTCTTGTACTGTTCTAGTTATTACTGATACTGTTATTATACAAAAGCTTCAAAGTTTGATATGGTGTATCACCACAGGAACTAACTCAACGCATGTTCAACAGAGGTGGTATTCAGCCATTTCTGAAAAGTTCAGGAGAACCGGTAGCGGAAATTTTGAGTAGTTTGGAGAACTGGCAAATAGGCTGGCCTTGCTCCTACTACAACCCAGCCTTCTAGCTGATCTTCTTTTGTTGCCCTGAACAGGAGAACAGAGCTGGAAAGCAGGTTAGTGGAGTGGGGAGGGAATGGGGATTTTGCAGTATCCTTCCCCTGCCACACCCCAAAGCTATGCCCCAAAAGCTGTGTCACAACCACAAAGCCACGCTCACAGAACCGGCAGTAAAAAAAATTGAATGCCACCATTAATGTTCAGGACTGGGCTGCAAAATGATAGCCCCCTTCCACTGTTGCTTCTATCAACCAGCATTTAAAACACACTGCCTATAATATAGAAAGTACCTAATAGCTAATGGTAGCCTTATCATCCCTAAAGCTGTGCCACTGTTGCTGACAATGAATTCCAGTTTATTATTTTCTTCTGTTGGTCCTCTATCTCTCCACACTTAGTTTCAAGAGCATCATTAGGAACAACCTAATTCCACATGGAAGACTCCCTTGTTCTCGGCTCTTGATAAAGAGTATGAGCTTCAGATTTGGCAAAAGGGACTACTGTCCTTGAATTGTGGAAGAGAAAATGGAATTAAACACAGTCATCTCTGCAGTAGAAAAGAATCCACAGCAAAATGTAGGATTCAGTACTCTCCCAAACCATATATGTTTTCAAAAGAGAACATAAACTCCCTGGCACAGAATATACAGCAAATACAAGGGAGAATTTAAATAAAAAGTATGAATTGCACAAAAGAAGCACTTTATATAAACTGCCTGCCTACAGGATATGCAACCTTTTACAGAATACTTTAATAAGTAGCAGTCTTTCTGAGTATGTTGGCTGGGGAGTTCTGGAGTTGAAAGCCAGGCATCTTAAAGTTGCCGAGGTTGAGATATACCGATAAAAAGTGTCTAAATCACCTTTTTTCACTTAAATTAGCTTCAATTTAACAATAAATTTTATTTTATTTTTAGACATGTGGAACTGTTTACTTTTGGTCAGTAAAAATTTGGCAAAGTCCTTAGTATAACTAATACCAGTTCTCTACTTCATGGGTCCACTATATACACCTGCAGTTACTTTTCATGATTCCAGCATTTACAGGTAAATGTATACATAGGAGTTACATTTCCCTCTCCGTTATTGTCACCATGCTGTTGATTGGAGAAATCTGAAAGCTGTAAATCTTCAGTTCACTTAATATGGACCCAGGAATCCGAATAGGTTGCTAACGCTATGGGGGTACAAAGATTCTAGATTAGAATTTTGTGTTACCAATTTTAATCCAATAATTTTAATTTATTAACTCCTTAAACAACTAGGGTTCGTCTCTTCTCTTTGCCAGACTCTGGTATAAATTAGTTGCTAACCTCCCTGCCCTTTTGCTGTTTCTAAATTCTTCGAATTCTCCATTTAGAAATTTCGGATTGTACTCTTATTGGTTGACAGTCAATATTTCAGACAGCACAAGACTTTAAATCTTCTTCCATCATTCGATTGCAACTTTCAGAATAATAATAATAATGAAAAATGCTCGCTTTTCATTGGGCTCACGGATCCCTCCTTTTATCTTCCTATTCGCGATGTTTCAGTTCTTCTCTTTAGTTCGCTGCGATGAGAGAAAGCGGACGGGAGAGGGATTGAATACTGCGGCAATACTCAGGCAATACTCCGTTTAGACATTTTCCTCCGCCCCTTAATTTCTGACGAGTGAAGGTAAAGACAGCTTTGAATATTAGAATCTGGCCGCTTCCCCTTCTGTTCGCGCATGCGCTCTGTGAGTAAAATGTGACCTTAATGTTTAGGTTTAGGGGTCTTCTGTGGCTTCGGGCTTTGAATTCGACCATCCCTCGTAGTTCGGGTCAAGTTCAAAAATCTTCTCATGCCATGGATTTAGGATCTCTTCGGAAAAACTACAGGGGGGATGAAGAGGTGAGACATCTCAATGTATTTCAAGGATTCCGCATAGAGAGAAAATGTTAGCGAGGGATTGGCGACAGCCTCTGACTTTGTGCAAAATGCGTGGCGTTTATTTGCAGTAGTAATCTTGGGATCTGCTGTCAGGACCGATGTTTTGTTCTGCCAAAAATAACGGAACACTAAAGATTATATTTTACAAAGTACTCTTTTCTTTAGTGGGAGATCGGATCTCGGGAATGCTTCTGCTGTATAAATGGGTCTTGGGCGTAGGATTTGAACGATCGCATACAACCATTTTATAGTTTTGCAATAGTAAAATAAATAGTGAAATGAAATAATTAAAGCAAATGCTGTGTGTCAAATTAAAATGGCTGAGAAAATATGTAGCTTTCAAATGTTTGGATAGGAGGTAGCTCCTGAAACTAAACACTGAAGGTTTGCTTTTTAATTAAAATAAGAGTGAGATGGTTGGGTCTCAAATGTGTAGAGATCGAACAAGGGTGTATAAATGGAAATGCTCGAGCATAGTTATAACACAAAAAGGCAATAATGGAATAACTGCAGGTTGTGATAAGAAAAGCTAAAGAGGGAGCAGTGGTGCTGCTAGATAATTTTAGGTTTGGGACTGAATAAATGTAGAGGTGTCTTTAAATCGCTTTGTGCATATATTTTTTCTGTTATGAAGGACTCAGTTCCCCTTTTCCTTTGAATCACTTTCCTTGTCGCTTTACAATTGCATCTATGTTTCTCTAGTCAACAACAACAAATTTATGTTGCTTAGATTTTTATCACGGCTTTTTTCATATACAACTCAAGGTGACAAACTTTCCAATACTCCGTTTTCCTCTTATTTTCCCCACAACAAGTCTATGAAATGAGTTTTACTAAGAGAGAATGAATGATTCAAACTTGCCCAGCCTGTTTTTCATGCCTAAAGCAAGAACAGTTAGTCTCTTCAGTTCTAGCCAACACCTTAACTACTACAGCAAAGTCTCATTTTCTTGTAGAAGATGAGATTATAAAAATTTATAGAAACTTGTCAATTGTAACGGGGTGCAGAGATGGGGGAAACTGTTCAGATTTTGAATATCTCAACATATACATGATATACTACACCAATGCACAAGCATATAATAGATACAAACTTAAGGTAAACCACTTCAACTCGATTGCAGAAAATACGACTTCAGCAGCAGAGTGGTCAATGCCTGGTGGAATGCACTCCGTGATTCTGTGGTTTCTTCCCCAACCCCCCCAAAACTTTAACCTTAGACTGTCTACTGTCAATGTCATCCCATTCCTAAGAGGTCTGTAAGGGGCATGCATAAGTGCACCAACGTGCCTACAGTCCCTGTCCTAATGCTCCCTTATATTTGTATCCATTTCATGTATTCAAAATCATGTTTATACTTATATGTGTTATCCAAGACATGCTTGACGAAATAAATAAATAAATAAATCACTGGAAAGCATGTACTGCATCAAAATAGAAGAAGCAATGGGAATGGATGAAAGAAGATGGACCAACCAAAGGAAATTGGTACTTGAGATTGAAAGGGATTGCTAAACACACACCTGCTTTCTACTTCCATCCTTCTAGGCTTTCGAGGAGAAACATCTCACCTCCCTTAATCCCATTCAACAATTCTCTGCATGGTTTGAACAGGCCATGAAATGTCCATCTATTGGAGAAGTCAATGCTATGTGTTTAGCCACTTGTACCAGGTAAGGTGTGCATCCTCACGACTTGTCTTTTTGCTGCTTTGTTATCTATATGAGTTTTATCTTTCTTTCTGTTACCTGATTTTTACCTCTTCTCAGGGAGGGAAGACCTTCTGCTCGGATGCTGCTTTTGAAAGGATTTAACCAAGAAGGCTTTCGTTTCTTTACCAACCATGAGAGCCGGAAAGGAAGGGAACTGGTGAGTGTTGCCTTATGAAGAATAATTATTGCAGAAAGACTGAAGCTCATGTGCTGAAAGTCTTTGTTATGTTTGAAAATGATCTATGCATTGAGAACAGGGGGACAGGGATGAGGAAGGGAAGCTACAAATTAGTCAGAATCTTGTTCTAGTTATTGTTTGCAGTCCAAGGGAAGGTGAGAACGTTGCTTATTTTGCATATTTCTGCGTTTGCTGGTCATGATTCCCTGAAGGCACTATAGATCATGAATTTTCAACCTGCCTGGGCCTCATTGAATGCAATTACCTTGGGCAGCATATAAAACTTATAATATAATTAATATATATACATCAAAAAAGTGGCATGGTGGCCTAGTGGTGAAGATGCCCACCTCCCACTCGGAAGGCTGAGAGTTTAATCCTAGATAGGGGCAGATGTTTCTCTCCTACGGTACAAAGAAAAAACATCTGCTGTGAACTTCATGTAAGCGTCAGGAAGGGCATCTGGCCAGTAAATACTGAGCTCCATCTGGATTCTGTGACTCTATCCTAAATAGGGACTACAGAATCATAAAAATCACTTTTAGATGTTTCAGATGTCTCTTTTATTCAAAGGACAATAATAGTTTTTCCTCCCAATTGTTTTGTATTGCTCTTTCCCCCATTGTTTATAGGATTCCAACCCCTTTGCTTCAATGGTCTTCTATTGGGAGCCTCTCAATCGCCAGGTAAAGAGTGTATTCTTTTATTTTAATATAGTAGTGGGGGAGGGAGAAGAATTTGGTAGTCACATTTGAACTTTTGTGGGGGCTAAGACTTCAGGAAAGGTTATCACAGATTGTCCTTTCAATCTTACCTTTGTAGTTTCACTGTATAAAGTGAAGACTTGAGCAGGTGGCTAAATCTTGCTGCAACCAATATTTGTTTCCTTCAGGTTTATTCAATTTGGAAAGTTGACTCCTGTACTATTCTTCCTGCAGGTACGGATTGAAGGCTCTGTAGAAAGGCTTCCAGAGCAGGAATCAGAGAAATACTTCCATTCACGTCCAAAAAGTAGTCAAATTGGGGCGGTTGTAAGCCGTCAAAGTACAGTGATTGCAGACAGAGAGGTGAGGAATGGTAGTGCTATGTTTTTCAGTTACTTATTTTTGAGAAAAAAAGGGACAACCAACATTGAAATGTTTCTGCCTTTACATGTAGGATTAAAATACATTTTCCCCAATCACATATTCAAATAGTCTCCTTGAATTTGTTTGCCATGATTCTTTTCATTATTAAACTTTTATAATAAGAGAGCCAGTTTCATGTAGCGTTGAAGCTGTTGGCTTACAAACCGTGAGACTAAATTCTAGGTCTCCCATAGGCATTGAAAGCCAGCTGAGTTACTTTGGACAAGTCATTCCTCCTCTTGGCCCAACCCCTCTTAGAGAGTTGATGCTGTGGAAAAATAGGAGGAGGAAGTATAGATTTAAAAAATGGGATAAAAACTAATTATAATAAACTTGAAGAATTGAGATAATCCCAAAAGCAAACTGAACGGACATCAAATGGATATAAACATTGAGTTGTTTAGAGTGAATAGTCATCATCAGAATGATTGAATTACATTTTAAATATTGATCTATGGAAAAAATGATGAAATCTGAATCACTTTGTGGTTGGTAATCAGAACACCCTTAAGATGTTATAACCTAAATAGTCCTTTGTCAGTTAGGTGTGATGGAAGTTATATCCAAAACATGGATGATAGATTGCTTATCTGTGCTTGTGTAGATAGTCACTGTAACTCTGTTAGACATAATGTGTGGAACATTAGAACATTAGAAAAAACATTAGAAAGACAAACCATGAAACCTGCCACAAACCACTAAGAGATATAATTTTTCATGTATATGACTCTCCCCACCCATTCTGAGAAAGCTCAGAATGTTGAATTTAATGTAAACAGATTTAATGCATGTTAGTCAGCCTTTCAAAAGTTAAAAATATACCAACACTTGACAGCACAACATGCTTGCTCACCATCAATTGCCAGGAAATCCATGTAAAAGAATGAGCACATATATGCTTTTGCAGAATAGGTGTAAACTCCTCTATGATGGACGATAGTCTTGAAAAGTAAATCTGCACCTCAATAATCTATGAGAGTATATGTAGAAGGCCCCGTTAGCACCTTAAATATAATACCAGGCTTCATCTTTTTTGCTTGTTGTGATGATTTGTTTGAGGACTTCATAGTACTGTCCCTTCTGTTAGTATTTAAGGAAGAAGAATGCAGAGCTAGAGGAGATATATCGAGATACCAAAGTGCCTAAGCCAGGATACTGGTGAGTTGGATACTGTGCATTTTGGCAACGTTCACTGTCAGCAAGAATTCATTGTGGTCTCTGAAACCTGAATGGCTGCAGATAGTTACAATTATTAATTTAGCGACTGTTCATAGTTACAACTGCACTGAAAGAAGTGATTTACAACATATATGTTCATACTTACAACCATTTCCCATAATCAAATGATAAAAACTTGGGTGCTTGGCAATTGGCATGTATTTCTAAAGACTGCAGTATTGTGGGGGTCATATGATTTCCATTTACAACCTTCCCTTCCAACAAGTCAATGGGGGAAAGCCTGATTCTCTTAATGTATGCATGATTCCCTTAAGAGCTGCAGTGATTGGTTTAACAACCTTGGCAGAAAATGTCATAAAATTGGATATGACTCACTTAAACAACCTCCTTGCTTACCAACAGAAATTGTGATTCTAGTTGTGGTCAAGGACTGCTTTATAACACTGGAGAGCTGGCAACTTTACCCTGTGACAAGACACATGTGGAATGGAACAAACTGAAACGGCTTTTCATTATTAACACCACTCAGATATCTCTTTTGATTTTAAGCTAACATGAAAAATTGTGCCATAGCCATTCCCTTGGATTGTCATTTGGGTATATGTGTACTTCCTAGATAGAGTCCTTAATTCCATATTTCTGCAATTCACATTCCACTTCAGAGAAAGCTACAAACTTTTATAATTATGTCAAATTAACGTATCTTATTTATATAACTCTGTCATTTCTGTTTTGCATAATTTTGTGCTAGCCATAAGAGGAGTATAAAAACAAATTCCAATTTATTCTAATTCATATTTAAGCATGGTACTCACTGTCATTTCTGTCAAATATTTTTTTCACTACAGTGACGAGAAAGCTATTTTATTTCAAAATAAGAATTTGAAGTTAATGGATAACTGAGTTCTAGGCTTGGTGCAATATTCTGTGTTCAACAATACAGTGATTCTTAGATATACACAATGTTTTTCTCTGGGATTCATTATGATTGACAAGTGTTTTTGTGAGCCATGCCTCTAATTCTGGGTTAATGATAAGTGAGAAAGTCACATTGTCATGACTTGCCTTTATTAAGTTAAGACTAACTATCTTATGATAGGTCCTTTATGCCATGGACAATCTGCTGACTGAGTGCAGCCTTTGAACTTTTTTTATGCTTCTCCCTCCCTCTACATTCTTTTCCTTGCTACTTTAGCTATTATAATTACACTGAGTAAAAGACTACAAAATAGAATTGCCAAGAGAGATAATGCTGAAATATCTATTCTTGTCCAGAGATCCTGATAAGATGGCCATTTCCTCCCTGCTTATGCCCCACCTCTTGGTCTATCTCTGTTAAAAGGAGATAAGTTTTCCCTACTTGAATGGAGGACGCCTTTGTGGGCATGTTCATTTGGCCTTCAACTCTGTCTTATTGGACCTTCAGGCCTGAATTGTTCAGTCTAGTCTGGACTTGTAGCTTGTAGTCTAACTTTTATTGTCCAACAACTTGCTGTGGTCCTCTTTTTTCCAGGGGAGGATACATCTTAAAGCCAGAAGTCATAGAGTTCTGGCAGGGCCAGACCAACCGTTTGCACGACCGGATCGTCTTCCGATATCTGCAGGACAGCAGCACATCCTTGGACCCTCTGACTCACAGAGGGGAGGGCAACTGGGTATATGAGAGACTCTCTCCTTAAGCAGCTTGCAGGATTTGTCTTTAAATATACATGGCAACATCTCTGATCCCAACCCTCCCCGAGACAGAGCAGATGAAGAACCAAGAGAATAAAATCCTGGGTCTACAGTAAGACCACCTGTATTTAGATGTCTACCAACCATCAGTAACTTTGGACTACTCCTTAACTATCTACCTATTTCATGTCACAGTTTTTGTGATGACAAATTGAGGGTTTCTTCATTGCAAACTATCCTGAGGATATGTAAGAATGGAGGAATCTTAATGAAAAGGATTGAATTCTCAACAACTATACCCCCCCTGCCCTCAAATACTTTCCAGATATGGGGAGTAGCACTGGTGGGTGAACATAACAGAGTGGCCTAGTTTTGTAGTTTGTATTTTGCAGTTAACTCTATATAATTCTGCATTCAGTTGCAATAAATAGATTAGATTTGGTTTTTAAAAACTTCATTACATTATCTAGGATATTTAAAGCATTCTGTATTAGAGAGGCAGTTTGATGTAGCGGTTAAAGTGGTTTCTGAGCCAGAAACTAGGAGAAACTAGGGAGTGACATGGTGCTGGTCACTCTTACTCAGTCCTAGGAAGAAAGCAATGGAAAACCATTTCTGAAAATGGTTGTCAAGAAAAATGCATAGACGTACCCAGGCAATCCCTGGAAGTCAGGACTTCCTGGAAGGTATTAAAAGGAAAAATAATAATTTCTATAGCATCTGCACATAATGTGCCTTTTGATTCAATCGAGCAGTTAAGAAGCATTGCAAGCAATGTGGACTTTGGAGCCATAATTAGAACTAATGGAAAAACAAGATCAGATCACCCATGCCAAGTGCAACAATTGGCATTTATAAAATAAACAAGACTATAACTAGCTGTAAACTTAAGAATATCAGGAGTGGGAATAACAATTGAAAGGTCAGTCTTTTTGCTCCTGAACTTTCACTGTCTATGTTTTTAAACTTTTCAACCTGTAAAATGAGAGGGTTGAGGTAATCATATTCCTTTTCACTAGAATTGCTGAAGATTGATTACTGTTTCCTACAAGTCTGAATTTTAAAAAATATATTCCTAAATATATCCACATAAATCCAAAATAGGTATAGCATACTTTTTAAAAGACAAATTTTCTCAAACCTAGAAAAATCAAGAATTTCAGCAATATATGTGGCATGTTTGTGTGTTTTGCATCATCAGCCTGCCACCCATAGCCTTCAGTTTTGTTAGAGGTAGCTGTTGGCCACTGACAGTTTATTCAGCCAACTATGCTTTAGAAGGGAGATGCTTTCTTAAAAAATAGAGGCACTTAAAAGTGAAAATAGCTATCCAATTTATAAAAGTTCTAGTTATTCCTTGGAAACAATATGCAAGGTAGGACTTGCATTTCTGCTTGCATCGTAGGAAAAGAAATGTGTCCCATCTGACTATCTGCAAACCATCATACAGGTAGTCCTCAACAGTATGACTGTTTAACAATGTTGGATATGTTATGACAGCCTTAGAAAAATTAGCATGATCTATACTCGCACTTAACTACCATCCCAACCACCTCAAGTCAAATAATTGTAATTCGGAGTCTTAGCAACCAGTTCACATTTAAGACTGGTTGCAGCATCCTATGGTCACAATTGCAATTTGTGCTCCCACTACCACCCATTTCTGATAAAATATACCCATTGGAGAAGCTGGATTCTCCTAATGACTACTGTAAAAATTATTGTAAAATTGGGTCCTACTTAACCTATATCTATAAATGACTTACAACAAAAATTCCTGCCCCAAGTGTAGATGTAAATGGACTACTTGTGTTGCATCACTCAGAGTGCTTTCCAAGGTCAAGAATTTTTCAGTGATGTTGGAATTTACAACAAGAAAAGTGAGCCTGGAGAGCCTCATTTTCTGAACAATTGTGTTCAATTTGCATAGGAAAAAATAGAATCACAAGCACTGAATCCAGCCTGCAGTAATAGTTAGCCAGGAAATCTGCTGCTTTTGTCTCAATATACTTTTGTCTCCACTATGACAAGCACTGTGTATGCTTTTGTTTTCAGAAATGTGATTCTTTCATGCTAGAACTGGATGTGCAAGTTCTACATCTGCAAGCAGTTATTGTAGACCAGACACAGGGGGTTGTGTGCACTTTGTGTTAATGTTATTTGTAAAAAAAAATATTTAAGTGGTGTCATTACCTTAATAATTGTTCTGTCTGACTGTCCTATCTTTGTGCTCTTATGTACTTAGTTGATTCTGTGACTATGTACATTTGGACAATAAAAGTTAGTGAATGATAGTTGAAAGTGAGCACAGTTTAATATTAACTTTGTCCTGTTTTATTGCTTTCTTAATTTTCTCAGTACATTAGGATGTCTCTTCTGTATTTCATATGCTCTAAGATGGATTTGGACATTTTATGGCCTATGGGTCACATCCGGTCCTTTCACTGAAGCAGGGGTGGCAGAAGCAATCTTCCACAACCTGTTTTTCATGTGGCCTCTTGGGGAAATTACCTCTAAGACTTTACAGCAGACATACTCCCAATGTAAACTCAGCTGGATCAGCTACTGTTAACATTTTTTTTTGTTCCCTTCTTGTACTAAGATCAGTATTTCTAAACCTTGGGATCTTTTCAGATGTATTGGACTTCAGCTTCCAGAATTTCCCAGCCACCATACTAGAGTATCAGGTGCATACTTTTATATAGCCATATTCTAAAAACATCTTCCTTTCTTACATTTTTAACTAGTATCATTTTCACACAACTTTCTCCAGAGAAAGGCTCAAAGTTAAGGTACCTTGTCTGTAGAATGTCCCAAATTTTGGGTGAAATCCAAATCTTGGATTTCTTCCAAGAAGACATAGAAGGCAGCGAAACGGATATTTCTATTACAGAGTTCTGGAAAAATGGTGCTAGTAGGAATAAGACAACATTGGAGCAGAAGGATAAATGGTTTTACCTAATATAAGTAAGCTACTTACATTCTAAAGCAGGGGTGTCAAACTCACGTTCTCATGGCAGCATCATGTGATGTATTGGGGCTTTCCCCCCCGTTTGCTAAACGGTGTGGGCGTGGCCAGCATGTGACGCATCCACCGGGAATTTGTTCTAAAGAGACCTATCTATCTATTAATACTAAGGATACTACTACAGAGCAGTCTCAGAATCTCGACAACACAATAGTTCTAAAATATCAGATAGCTGATTGAAGTTACCAGTTTTAACTCCTGGAGGATGAAGCCACCTCTCCCACAGTTATGGAAACCTATTTGACAAAGTACAATATGAAAGGCAAAAATCAAGTTGTTACTTCTAGCTCTTTAAACTGTCTTCCATATCCTAGAATTTGGGATTTGGAACCCGAGAAGGGCAAAAGAATAGAACAACTGCAATGCTTTTTGTGTTCTTGCAGAATGTTCTGAAATCGAAATCTGAAGAGAAAAATATAGAAAATGATTATTTTAATACAGATAGTCCTTGACTTATAATAATTCATTTAGTAAGCATTCAAAGTTACAGCACACTGAAAAAAGTGACTTTTGAGAGGTGACTTTTTTACTACCTGTTTGCTCGTGCATGATGCTTCTGCGCATGCACAGAAGCATCTGGTTGGGTGGGCGGAGCTTCCCACCACTGCTACTATTGGTTCGTCCAATCTGGGCCAAACTGGGAACAACCCACCTCTGACCATTTTTCAGAGTTATGACCTTTGCAGTATTCCCATGATCATGTAATCAACATTCAGACGTTGGCAACTGGTTCATACTTATGGCTGTTGCTGTGTCCCAATGTCATGTGATCATCTTTTGCAACCTCACAAGCAAAGTCAAGGGGGAAACCAGATTCACTTAACAACCAGGTTACTTATCAATTGCAGTGATTCATTTAACAATGGTGGCAAGAAAGGTCATAAAATGGGGCAAAATTCACTTAACTTCACTTGTCTTATTTAACAACAGAAATTTTGGGGTCAGTTGTGGTCGTAAATCAAGGACTACCTGTAACATCTTCCTTGGAGAAAAGGGTAAAAGAGTGCTTTAAATTTGCTTTCCACCAGGAGGCACTAGAAGGAGATTTCTAGGGACTGTTCAAGTATCGGTTCTCTTGGGTTGCATCCCAGTGAAACTGCAGCTGTGATAACCTTTTGCCCTTGCTGAGCTTCCGGAATGTATTTGCCTTCTGAGTCACTGCTCTTTTGTTCTAATCAGGAGTCAGGATCTCTTGCAGTAAGTCATTTGAATGATGGGATTCCCCAAAGGCCAGGTGAGTCCCCTGCATTGTGGAATGTTCCCTGGATACCTACTTTCCTCTTTTAGCCTGCGGCTTCTTGGCTCATTACCATGTCTGAAATTTGCAAGTCAGTCTTGTATTCAAGGAAGGAAACTCTGCCTCTGCCCATGTGCAGAACAATTAAGCAGCTGAGCAATTGGAAGCAGTTCTCACCTCCTCCATTATATATTGTGGATTGCAAAAAAGGTCCATGTCCCGCTTCCAAGTTGAGCTAGTGCTATTGATTTTAGAAAGGAACATATTGGCTGTACTCTGACAGGTAGGAACACAAACAAACCAATCACTTGTTAGTCTAGTTGTGCAAATGCCTATGGGGTTGGTTTGTGGTTTACAGAGGGGTGTGAACCATGAGTCATTTGCTGTGATGCCAGCTTTTCCATCGATCAACCTTTTTTCTGGCACTAAGTATATCAGAAGCTCAGTGGGGAATCTTTTTCAAGTTTTGAGTCCCCAATATTGAGCTACAATATATTTTTTTTGTCTTTCCCAGCACTGCCAAGGAGTTAAGGGATTATCATAGTGATAAGATATATTGACATCTGTAATATGATAATCTTTTTCTTCGCATTTTGAGAGTTGTAGTTCTTCTATATCAGTATTTCTTAGTTTCAGAGTCTTTAAGAGGTGTGGACTTCAACTCCCAGAATTCCCTAGTCAGTCACTGTGTTGCTTGAAATGACTCTTTAAGAGGTGTGGACTTCAACTCCCAGAATTCCCTAGTCAGTCACTGTGTTGCTTGAAATGACTCTTTAAGAGGTGTGGACTTCAACTCCCAGAATTCCCTAGTCA